GTGCGTATTGATAGAACAGAACTTGCGTCGAACGGAACACGATGTGGTTTACAAGTGACGCTGGAGATGGTTTCAGCGAGTCCTATGATCGATTTCTTATGTTTTCCACCAATCAGTGGACGATACGTCACCATTTTGGGAAATTCTGGCATGAGTATCTGTGAAGTTCGTGTTTACGGTGAAAATATCAATGTCCGTAAGTTAAGTCAAAATATTTTTATAGTCAACTTGAAAATGCATGTATAGTTATTATATAATTTATGAGACAATAATAATAATAATAATAATAATAATAATAATAATAATAATAATAATAATAATAATAATAAATAATAATAATAAATAATAATAATAACAATGAGACACTATCGTTTGATTGATATTTTAGAGCCGGTTTCTCAGCCACTGGATCCAGTCAGCACCTGGCCGCTAAACAAATTATGTGGCATCAACGACATCTACTCACTCGACTTAAGTAAAATCAGCAATCAGTACAATTTCGTTACAGACAAGCACAGTCTTGATGAGGGCGCTCTTAATGTCAGTAAGAATGAAGCATTGACGGCATCAACAAGGTCGGGATGGGGAGACGTTGGTGCAATGACACTGACGGTTTTCATCCATCCATATACAGGCTCGTCGGGAGGGATCCTCATATGGTTGAGTTCTCAATACAGCATAAGACTCAGTGTATTTTCTAATATTCTTCATGTTTGTGAGGTGGTTGTTAGATACTACGGTGCTGAAGTCATGCGAGCGAATGTCCTGCAAACGGACGCTTGGACATTCCTCGGTTTAACATTTGATGGGAACCTTCATAAGATGGAAATGTGGAGAGATGGGGAAATTGTCAAAACGGCTGGAACAATATTTGACGTTGTGCATATGAGTTTCAGGAGAGTTAATTTGACAAAAAGTAGCACCGGAGCGCACATGGGATTCTCACGTCTACAGCTGTTTGACCGGGTACTCACAGAAGTCGAGATGAAGGCATTTAGAGACGAAGAAAGTAAGAAATCTAAAGAAAATATCAATTATATGTATATGTGTTCCTAGGTTTGCAATTAAATTTCTGTCATTAACTTTTAATGTTAATAAAAATCAAATT